GCGGCATTCGCTCCCAATCGATCAAATTTTGAACATAGTAGATTAGATAGATGGGCTATGAAGCACTGCCTGGCTTAAAACAAAAAAGGAACAGGGATTTCTGCACACGAAGGACTTCGATTTATATCTCGGACTTTTGTTGAGTACGATTTGTTGAGTTCTCTTTTTATCTCTTATTAATTGCAACGCAAATGCTGCAATTCTGCCTATTCCCTTTAGCGCCAAAGTGAAAATTAATTTACTTTTCTTGTTTTTGTATGGTAATCATTTGATGTGGCTTTTCACCTTTTCATCAGCTGTATTTCGTTTCTCGCTCTCATTATTGGCATTAGCTAAGCCATTCAAATGCGTCAATGTGTCCTGAGGAAATTTATTTTTCTTTCGTTTGCTATCTATCCACGCTATGCTTTTATAGTTGTGTCATCGACTTGTGCTGCAGCTGCAATTTATGTTGTTTGCATATTGATTCTTATAGGTCACATCGATGATATCCTTAAAGAATAATTCCTGCTGTGATTGTATGCAGAAGTAGAACCATCAGTCATTGATCCTCTAAAAGATACTCTCTGTATCTTTGTGCGCATTCTCAAACCTGTTTTTGGAGATTGTCCATTGAACCATAGCGGTTATCCAGTTTTTTTCATTTGTGGCTTCTAATTGCACTGTTGTATATCATCAGATACTGCCTACAATTCTAATTAATGGTTCATGATCCTTGCTTGTTTACTGTATTTCCTGCTAACCTTAACTCGGTCGTTCTTAACTCCATCTATTTTTTGACGTTAATGTTAGTCTAGCATTGCTTGCAGCAAAGCCGTTGGAAGCATGGAAGAAGCATTGCAGAAGGCTTTGCATGAGGAACTTAAGCCATATGGACGAGGTGGTGGCGGCTGCATCAACTCTGGCCGAGGCTACGAAGGAAAATCTATCGGAAAGATTTTTGTAAAGTCGAATATCAAGAAAGGAGTGGGTTTTCTTGAAAATGAATTCACTCGAATTGCTTTCATTATTGCCTTTGTGGTTACTCTGTCTGCGAACTTTTTATAGTGGTGTATGGAAAGTAAAAGGAAAAGTTACTTGTGGATTAAATCTGTCTAGTGTTCTAACCGTTGGTGATTATTTTATTGACAATTACTTGACT